GGAGACGTGTTCATTGGTGCTGACGGTATTGTTTGCGTGCTCACTAACGCGCACGGACGCGTTTGCGTGGCTGACCGCGGGGGCCGTTGCTTCTTTCGCGGCTGGCCCCAGTACGCTCTACTCTCGAATTACAGAGATATGCATGCTCGACGTACATGTCGGGGCAAAGCGATAGTCTCTGACACCGCCAGTTTTCCCATCAAGACATCATACCATGTTTACATTCTTGTTATACTGGTGCCAGGTACCCATGGCGACGAGCCGTCTATATGCACAATTTAACCGTTCCCAAGCATCGCGTCTGCGAGGAGCTGGTGCGATTTTCCCGAGCCTCGCATTCTTGAGTGCCTCGAAGTCGTTTTCGAAGGGCACGTTCACATCCACAATGACGCCAGTCTCGTATGTCACGACAATCCCGGGACATACTACTACTCGTTTCCCCGAGCAGGCTGGAGGCCGCGGCATGTCTCTCGACAACTGCGTTGTGGCGCAACTGCCGACTACGTGGGGGCTGCAGTGGCAGTGCACGTGGAGCAACGTCTCTGATTGGGTTAACTGCATCGCCGGCAACTCTGGTCGCCGTCACCCAATCAACGAGGCTCAATTAAGGGGATCACGTCGAGGCGCGCGCGCGATGCATAAAGCGCCAGTCGACGAAACTAATGTACTGAAGCGATTGCTCGCTCCATGACGGGAAGTCGCGTCGAAGACTTTGCCCTGGTCCGGTTTTGCGTTAAGCGCGTACGTATTGTGCTCCGCCACTACGGCCCTCAATCGGTTAATGACCTGCCGCTTGGTTGCCGGATGTATGTTCACTCTCCGATCGTCGCGTTCTGGGCACACCAGCTAGAGGATACATCAAACCGGGTCCCATATCCACCGGAATCTAAACACACTCGCGGACCTCAGGGCATCCGATCTAACTAGCGACCAAAACGGAATGCGATTGGAAGACAACGACAGTTCCCCATTGAGCGATCCCGAAAGATACCTGGCGCTGTTTCCTCGTTCGGCGTACGCCGGATCTCCAAGCGATTCCTAAAGTCGACCTTGCAACGCGTGCGACCGCCGTGTTATTTGCGTTGAGAATTTTGAACGCGTGGGCCACGGCCACGGTGGTAACATCCGCGAGGTCCATCAACGGAGGAAGCACACATCCACCCCAAGAGGGGGGGGGGGGAGCAAGTCCACCGTTCTGCCGGACTTGCTTCAGAACAATCCGTTCAGTACAGACGACTTCCGAAAGGCTCCACCCCTCAGCAAGAAGTCGAAGTGCAGCAGCAAAAACGCCGCTACGGTCACGATCTTCTACCAGT